CATAAATGAGCTAAAATTTCAGCTCAATTTTGATTGAGCTTGTAGACTCGAGGGAGGCCAAAATTGATTTATTTTGGACATGAGTTGACCCCCCCTTGCCTACATCAGCAGGAGGCGAAGATCCCGCCTATGTTGTGAAGCCCCGGTCCCGTGTAGACCGGCTGGACTGGTCTAACAATACTCTCCTCTTATAGACCCACCTTGTCCGCAAGGTGGAAAGACGATACTCTCCATTCCTTCTTCATCACAAACGGTAAGAACCTGAAGAGTTCGGTCCTTACACCTGTGCCCCGGCGTATACCTCTCGTCACATCTAAAACAAAGCCCCTTCGCCCTCTTCTCCTGTAATTCTTTCTCTGTGAGCTTCTTGAAGTTGTTCCCAGGTTTTCCTTCTGCAGTCTTTTCCTTCGAAGTCCCTCGAAGAGTATCCAGTATTGGCTCCTTAGATTTCAATAAAGTGGTGGTCATCCTGTACGAGCCTCCTGAGCTGACCCCTCCCGTCTCTCCCTCCATGTTCCTCTGATCTTCTACCAATTGAGCTAACTTCATAGCCTCTCCCAAGTCACGAGGCCTCATTACTCTAACCGCTACTCGGATTTCTGGTGTCAATCCGTTCATGAAGTTTCAATCTAGAACTATCTCAGAAAGGCGGTCCAATCAACTAACAAGGTACTCGAATCCCTCTTGATACTCTGTCACTGAACCCTCCTGTGTCAAGGCAAAAAACTGCTGGTAGAAATCTCCTCCCCTGCCAATTCAGAAATGTTCTACCAAACAATCCTTGAACTCTCTCCAACTTCGTATGGGTCGTCGCATGTCCCTCTACTGATACCAAAATAAAGCCTTCCCTTCTAAACATAGGTCCGCCGCCGTCAGTCTCTCATCCTCTGTCAACTCATTGATGGAGAAATATCTTTCTACCTTGTAGATCCATCCTTGCGCATCCTCCCCCTCTAAGATTGGCATATTCAGTTTCCTCACCCTCAAGTCACACCCATTTCCCCTAAATTCTCCATAACCTCTTATTCTTCGATCCCCAATTGTCATGATCTTCCTTCCGATGATCATACCCAAACCATTCATCAAAATCCCCTCTTCTTCTTTCAAAATTAGCACCCTGACAATCGAAATCATCTCCTCTCCTTACAAATTCAACATCCCTTCTTGCATAGCCAATGCTCATCTCCTCTCTAGAAAGTGGTTCTAGAGGAAGCATTCCGTCTTCTCCCTCAAGGATCTCCACTTCTGGCTTTTCCCTTCCCCTAGACGTGTTAGGGTTCCCATCTCTTCCATGGCCGCCGGCAGTTTCTTTTGCTTCTGATGTCATCAGTTTGGTTTTGGCTTCAAGCAATTTCTTCAATGTGTCTTCCACCACTGTGAACGTTTCCTCCATTTTTCATTTACGGATGCAATCTGACTTTGAAAATCAGCCATCTTTTCCTCAAAATCTGCTTTGAGTTGCCCAAGTTCTCCCTAAAAAACTTTCACTTTCCTTCCGGCCATTGATTCCCCTTTGACCGACGTGCTCTGAGACCAATTTGATAGGAAACACTTGTAGATCACAAGTATTTCCTACCAATCTTCTAAAAACAGCGAGAATTCTTCTCAAAAATCCGATCAAAATCACAAAACAGTAGATAATTTGTATTACTTGTTGAAAGCAAAACAGAAAATAGCAAGATACACTTGATCCTCTAGGATCGATCTCTCCCAAATCTCTAGACGCCGCTAGAGCCCAAAGAAAACCTAAATCTAAGAGATCTCAAATTTCAGACAAATTCAAGATGCCCTAAGCTTAGGAAAACCAACTATTTAATGCATACAAATCAAAAGGAAATCGCAAACAGTCCCTACATTCAAATTTCCCGCTCAAAACCCTAAAATTCATTCCTAAACGGCTCCGATTGGGTCTTCGGACTGCCCGGACCGCCCGATCTCCACAGGCAGAGGTCCTAACTCTATTGCGAAACGCCGGTCCCGTGCGGACCAGCTGGACCGGTCTAACACAATCACAACAAACTGTGATTAATATGGTATCTAGTAGTTGAAATGGTGGGTTAAAACCTGCAATGCGGATGATTCATATTAAACTAGGCTTAGTACCTGCTTTTGTTTGAATTTTATATCGCTGAAAAGTTGTATATTTCTTTCTATATGATCTATGTGTTATTCAGTAATATTTCTTTAACGAGTTTTCTTTTTTATTGCAGTTGAAGATTTGAACTTGCATGCAGTAGAATCTTTAAATGGTCAATCATACCTAGCAGTTGGAAAACATCTATGCGGTAATGCAACAGGTGATTATTTTTATGCCATGGAAATAAATTAATATAGAGTTACCTTGTACAATTTGTTTTTCTAGTTTATTCTTTTTGTACTGTTGGTTTTCGTGTAATAGCTAGAATTATTAAGCAGTTTCTTCATATTTGCTGCAGATTTGACTATAAATTGCTGTCACCCTCAGAAAACCGATAGAAGCAAGAAAGCTTTTTCAAGTAGTTGCCATCTTCAAGGCATTGCTCTGGCTACCTGCTGCCACCATATTTGCCAGTGGAAGCATTATTCGAGTAGTAATCCATGCCTTAGTATTTTGCTAAAGCATTATCTAGTTCAGTATGTTTGTCATGCATAACTATTTCACAGTATAATTTTTTACTTTGTGAATGTTATTTTGGTCTGAATGTTCTTTAAAGTGTCCTAATGATTGTTCATTCGTTTGCTAAGCTATCTGAATGAAATGTTTAGCTTCATCAGCCTCTTTGAACATTTTTTGACTTACTATTGTGAGCAAAAGTATTTTATTTTTCCCGAATGGATGGCTTGCTCAATTTTCTTTATTGATCATTGTTATTTTTCAATAAGAAGTCTGATTTTGTCTATTAGTTGAAACGTTTGCAAAGTTAAATTAAATTGGGAACAATTATTTTTAATCAAGTAGGCAGTTATACTCTTTTCCTTCTTATGTGATTTGTATGAAACTGCTTTCCTATTTTTGTTGATTGGCAGATATTATACTGAACCCTCAATTTATTTGCCTTAAGTTTCTATTGTTTTATTGTGAAAAAAATTAGCCACATTTTTAAAAAAAATTTTGGGGTTAGAACTGAATTACTTTCACCATATAATCCCTCCAATATATTCATCATTTTGCATTGATTTTCCCAAATATATACATATATGAACTTCTGCATATTGACTGGCTTGCTAATTACTCTTTGTTCTTAAACAACACATTCGACTGATTCAGGCTATATTGTTCATGCTAATATGCTTGATCAATGTTTCTGATTTTATGTCACAGATAGAAGGCTTTTTCTAGATCATGGCATAACCAAGCAGGATTTCTATGCCATTACATGGTTCAGCAGCTGGGCTGTAGATGCGGATCACAGTTCTAATATCTCAAATCAGTCAGACAGAAGCATGGATATAAATGCCAGGTAATTTCAATGTCATCGTCACAAATAAATAAATGATTGATAATTTGTGGAGCTTAATTTTTATCTTATGAAATGAAAACATGTTACCCAAACTTAGGGTCGACCATTGTAGTAAGATCACCAGAGGGGTGGAAAGTGGGAGCTTGATAGGAAGTACTTGAGTTCGCAAGTAACCACATGGGCAATACTTGAGTTCGCAAGCAATCCTACCAATAATCGGCAAAAACAGTGAGCAAAAGGGCTGAGTTCAATAAAAATCAGCTAAAGCATTGCGAGAACTCTTGTAGGATGAGGAAGAAACGCCAAGGAAAAACTTTGATTCAAATAACAAACAAGAACACAAAGCAAGATACAATTTCCCTTAATTCGAGAGGAAGGAAAACTCTCCACAATCTCTAGCAAAAGCTTAGAGCCCAAAACAAACCCTAGATCTCAAAATTTCTCCCAATCTCAAGATGAAGCCCTAATTCTATCATTCATCCCTAATTAAAGCTAAAGGAGGGATACAAATTCCTTAAACACCCTTCTAATTCAAAATTTTCCTCCCAACATTGGATTTAAATCAAATTGGGGCCCACAAGGGGTTCCGCCCCCCTCTGTTTTGCTGGTTAAGTCAGCCATACACAAGGACTGTTGGACCGGTCCAGCCGGCCCCTCCTTGGCCGGTCTAACAGTACTCCCCTTCCAAAAACTCATCTTGTCCTCAAGGTGAAAGTAAGGGAACTGCTGCTTCACAATCTCATAGGGCTCTCAGGTAGCCTCATAGTCGGGGAGATCCTTCCATTTGACCAGCACCTCTTTCTTTCCCCTTTTATCAAGTCTTACCCCTTCCAGCTCCACGGGTTCCATGACCACCTCCAAATCCTTTGTCAATGATGCTAGTAACTTACCATTAACTGCATGCTCCCCTAGCGTTCTCCTCAACTGTGACACATGGAACACCGGGTGTATAGTAGCGGAGGAGGGTAACTTCAGACGATACGCCACTGCTCCAATCTTCCCCAAGATCTCATAGGGACCAAAGTACATCGGGACCAATTTCTCATTCCTCTTGTTAGCCACTGATTTCTGCTTGTAGGGCCTTAGCATCAAGAACACCTTCTCCCCCACTTCATATTGTGTATCTGCTCGCTTCTTCATGATTTGTTGTGCCAATTCCAGATGTTTCTTTAATTCCTCCAACACCTGATATCTCTCCTCTAGGTACTGTTCAACTGAAGAGACCGGTGTGTTTCCCCTTCCATAATGCACTAAGTGTGGGGGTCTCTTCCATATTGTACTTTGAAAGGGGTCATTTGGGATGCAGAATGGTACGAAGTATTATACCAATACTCCGTCCATGATAACCATTTAGCCCACTTCCATGGTGTTTCAGAAGGAAAACACCTCAAATATGTCTCCAATCTCCGATTCACCACCTCTGTCTGTCCGTCTGTCTGTGGATGGTAGGCGGTACTTCTCTTGAGAACAGTGCCCTGCATTATGAAAAGTTCCCTCCAAAACTGACTAAGGAACATTTTGTCTCTATCAGACACAATTGATTTTGGAATCCAGTGTAATCTAACCACTTCCCTGGTAAATGCTGCTGCCACTGATGCTGCGGTGTACGGATGTTGTAGGAGGATGAAATGTGCATACTTACTAAGTCGGTCCACCACCACCAAAATGACCGTAAATCTCTCTGAGCGGGGTAGGCCGTCGATGAAGTCCATGGACACTTCCTCCCTTCCTCCCTTACTCTGTTTGGAAGTGCCAATGGTTGGAGTAACCCTCCTGGTGCCATTGCCATGTATTTATTTCTCTGGCACACCTTACACCTTGCCACCATCTCATCCACATCCCTATGCATCCCCTTCAAGTAGAGCTTTGATGCTAGCCTACTATATGTCTTCTGTACTCTTGAATGTCCCCCAACTGCACTGCCGTGAAATTCCTATAATAAGCGAGGAATGTGTACTGATGTTCGTGGTATCACATACCTCCCATGATGCAAGAACCTCTCTCCCTTCAAATAGTACCCCGAATGACTAATACTATCCTTCTTTAAATCTTCTTTGATCTTCTTCAGCTCCTCGTTCTACATGCTTTCTTCCTTGTGGCTCCCCAGTCAACCATCAGTGGTACTGAAACTCTGCCAACTCCTGAAGTTCCCCAACACATCTGATAAGGCGTCAGCCGCCTTATTTTTCACCCATGGCTGATACTGGATCTCAAAATTATAGCCCAAAAGCTTGGACAGCCACCTCTGGTGCTCCTCGATCACCATCCTTTGTTCTAACAAGTATTTCAAACTCCGCTGATCCGTATGAACAATGAAATGCCTACCGAAAAGATAAGGGCCGCCATTTCTGAATGGCTAAGACGACGACCATCAGCTCTCTCTTGTACATTGACTTCAATCGAGCCCTGGTCGATAGCACCTAACTGAAATAAGCTATAGGCTTGTGATTCTGCATCAACACTGCTCCCAAGCCATACCCTGATGCATCGATCTCCACTATAAAGATCTGGCTGAAATCTGGAAGAGCTAACACTGGGACTGTCGTCATGTCCGTCTTCAACCTTTCATAAGCCTTTGTCACCGCCTCTCCCCAAAAAATTGTCCTTCTTCAGTTGCTCAGTCAACGACCAAGCGATGGGACTGTACCTCTTCACAAACCTCCTGTAGTAACCAGTCAGTCCTAGGAAACCCCTCAACTCCCTTATGTTCCTAGTCATGAGCCATTTCTGCATTGCCTTAATCTTTGACTGGTTAGCTGCCACTCCCTCTTGAGACACTACATGTCCCAAATATTCCACCCTAGACTGGGCGAAGCTGCACTTCTTTAGGTTAGCTTTCAGTTGATGTGCCTGTAGAATCTTGAGAACCTCCTTCAAGTGCTCCAAATGCTCTTCCTCTGTTTGGCTGTACACCAAAATATTATAAAAAAAGACTAGCACAAACTTCCTGAGATGCTCCCGGAACACCCTGTTCATCAGAGACTGAAAAGTCGCAGGGGCGTTAGTGAGCCCAAATGGCATCACTAAGAACTCATAATGCCCCTTGTGCATTCTGAAAGCCGTCTTCTGAATATCCTCTTTCATTCTGATTTGGTTGTAGCCTGACTTCAGGTCCATCTTGGAAAAAACTACTGCTCCGTGCAGCTCATCTAATAACTTGTCTATCACCGGAATGAGGAACTTATCCGGAACTGTCTCCTTGTTCAAAGCCATGTAATTCATGTAAAACCTCCAGCTCCCATCTTTTTTTTTTTATTAGTAAGACTGGGCTGGAGAAAGGACTCACACTAGGTCTAACGATCCCTGCCTCCAACATCTCCCTAATCAGCTTCTCAATTTCATCTTTTTGAATATGGGGGTAGCGATAAGGTCGAACACTAATCGGTGACACCCCATCCTTAAGAAGGATTGCATGCTCACTCCTCTCCCCATTTCCACCTTCCTCGTGCCCATCATCACTCCATATCCTCCTGTGTCCACTAATTTCACCCCCAACAGATTGACGATCTGGTTAGAGATGAAATTGTGGGTGACCCCACTATCGATCAACACCACTACCTCCCGGTCCCCGATTTCCCCCCTCACCTTCATGGTGTGATTTGGTATGAATCCCACCACAGAGTTTAGAGAGACTTCAGCTACATCCAGATGTAACTTCTCTTCTTCCTCCTCTATCCCGCTCTCACCTCCCTTAGTTTCCTCATCATCGTAGACGGTGAGAACCTGAAGAGTTCGGTCCTTACACCGATGCCGTGGCATGTACTTCTCATCGAACCTGAAACACAACCTCTTAGCCCGTTTCTCTTGGATCTCTTTCTCAGCCAGCTTCTTAAAATTTCCTCCAGTCCCCCCTCCTCCATTCCTCTCCTTTGGTGCCTCTCGTGAACCCCCCGTTGAAGCTCCTTTGGGAGCTAGGAAAGTAGTCGTCATCCTGTAGGATCCCCCGGAACTACTGCCTCGAGCCCCCTTCTCTAAATGCTTTTGGTCCTCTACCAGTTGAGCCAACTCCATGGCCTCACCCAAGTCGTGCGGTCTCATCACTCTAACAGCTGCTTTGATTTCTGATTTGAGCCCCTTCATGAAGTTCCCTTCAAGCACGGTCTCAGATAGACGATCAAACCTGCTCGCTAGGTACTCAAACCGATTACGGTACTCCGCCACTGTCCCTTCCTGCATCAAGGCAAAGAATTGCTCATAGAAGTCTCCTCCTCTACTGGTTCGGAAACGCTCCAATAATCACTCATTGAACTCTCTCAAGCTCCTGATGGGCTGCCTCATGTCCCACCACTAGTACCAAGCCAGTGCCTTTCCCTCCAAGCATAGTTCTGCTGCCGTTAGCTTCTCTTCCTCTATTAGCCCGTTGACGGAAAAATAACGTTCCATCTTGTAGATCCGGCCATGGCCATCCTCGCCCTCAAAGATGGACATCTTCAGCTTTCTCACCTTCGGGTTACCCCAATGGAAGTACTTGAGTTCGCAAGTAACCACACGGGTAATACTTGAGTTCGCAAACAATCCTACCAATAATCGGCAAAAACAGTGAGTAAAAGGGTTGATTTCAATAAAAATCAGCAAAAGCAATGCGAGAACTCTTGTAGGATGAGGAAGAAATACCAAGGAAAAAACTTTGATTCAAATAACAGACAAGAACACAAAGCAAGATACAATTTCCCTCAATTTGAGAGGAAGGAAAACTCTCCACAATCTCTAGCAAAAGCTTAGAGCCCAAAACAAATCCTAGATCTCAAAATTTATCCTAATCTCAAGATGAAGCTCTAATTCTATCATTCATTCCTAATTAAAGCTAAAGGAGGGATACAAATTCCCTGAGCACCCTACTAATTTAAAATTTCCCTCCAACATTGGATTTAAATCAAATTTGGACCCACAAGGGGTTACGCCCCCCTCTATTTTGCTGGTTCCGCCGGCCATACATAAGGACCGGTCCAGCCGGCCCCTCGTGGGCCGGCCTAACAGAGCTTTGGAGAGTCCCATAAAGA